TGGGAGCCCACGTGGCTTAGGTGGGAGGGGGAAGGGGCAGCTCCAACCGGAAAAGGCTGGAACTGCTCCGGTCCGAAAAGGTTTGCTGCTTCGGCCCTTCTTACCTGCCCGCTGCCCTCCCTCTCTGGTGAGGTTCAAGCCCCGCAGAGCTCACTGCCGGCCTGGTGGAAGGTGTTCAGTGACTCTCCTTGGGGAAAGTATACTTTAAAAACATTTTACTATGAACTTTCCCCCTCCACCCAACAGGTAAAACATACTTAGTAGAGAAAGACTAGAAATACATGCACATAAACCGTAAGGAGAAAAAAATTCTCCTGTAATCCAATATTCAGAGGGACTTAACTCTGAGTCATTACCAGATAACTGTTTGGGGGAGAGCTATATGTATTTCCAGGATAGTTTTTCTGTTTATACGCACACATACATTGAAATGGTGTCTGTATATGTGCATTTTTTAAGGTAATAGAAGTTCAGTGATGCAAAATTAGCATTACAAAAGCACATAGGCATGCGGGCACACCCGAGGGTGGATGCTCAGACCTGGCTGCATGGGTTGCCTCAGGCGAGAGAACTGGTAAGGGGTTCCCTGCCTTCTTTTCTGCACTTTCTGGAGTTCGAATGTGTTATCCAGGAAAAAATAGAAATAATGACAGCCATACATAAAAGAAAAGAAGAAAGCCTCCCCTCACCTCCTCCCTCAGTACTGCCCCGCCTCAGCCTAACCCATGGTGCGCAGTTTGGTTTGTATCCTTTTATTTTTTTTTAATTTATTTTTCATAGTTTGTATCCTTTTGGGCCTTTGTCTACGCTCATACACTGTATTTCTTTCTCTGTGTATTTTTAAAAATAAGGATGGGGTTGTATTACAAGCACAGTTTCTGCAACATACAAAAATATAGCATGAACACAGACTGTTTTCTAAAATGCTGGATGTTTGGGGGTTTTTCTTCTGCCTAAAGTGCTTATTATAAAAATCAAAGATCACAGAGTCAAGTAAACATAGGAAGGAAAGTCTAAAAGAGCACACCGTCTATTTCAGTATTTTAAACACAGAGCCAAAGGTCAGGAAGGAGCTCCCGCCACCCAGCTGCTGTGGCCACGCTCAGGCTGGGTCGGGGAATGGGTCGGGTGCACGGGGGCTTCTGCTTCGTCAGCGTGGCACAGATTCACAGTGGGAATGTATTTTTATTTATTAATTTATTTTTGAAAATATTGTGTAATTAAAAAACAACACAGGAGAACTATGTTCTGCCTTCCTCTCGCCCAAAATGTAGGGGAACAAAAGTGCAAAATGCAAGTTTCCTATGTCCTCATTGTTAACAGCCTGGTGTGTATTTTCAGACTGTTTCCCCCCACGCGTGCGCCCACACACACAATTTATTTTTATAAAAGTGATAACAAGCTTTGTTTTTTAATAACAGCTTTATTGAGATATAATTTACATACTATAAAGCTGGCCTTTTTAGAAGTATACAGTTCAGTGGTTTTAAGAGTATTTAGAGTTGTACAACTATCACCACTCTCTAATTCCAGAACATTTGCATCGCCCCGAAAAGAAACCCCAAACCCATCATAGTCTCTCCCTGTTCCCTGCTGGCAGCCACTCATCTATCTACTTTCTGCCTTTGTGGATTTGCCTGTTCCGGACGTCTCGTGTAAATGGAATCATACACTGTGTAGCCTTCTTTGGCCGGCTCCTTTGACTTAGCATGATATTCTCAAGGCATATGCGTGTTGCAGTCTGTGTCAGTACTTCATTCCTTTCTGTGGTTGAACGATATTCCTCTGTGTGGATATGCCACATTTTGTTTGTTCTTCAGTTGGTGGACTCTTGGGTGCTAGATTTTGTTTTGCAGGTTCTTCCTTTCCCTTACAAGATGTCTCAGATACGTTACCATGTCAGTGAATCTTATTCTTCCTCTGTCCTTTTCAGTGTCTGTAGGCTTTATATTGTGTCATTCCCTTATATGTGTGTGGTGGCTGGGACCTCTCGGTGCCATTGGAGACCCCAGCTCACCTTCCTGCTGCCTACTTCCTTCCTCCAGGGAGTCTGCAGTGCTTAAAGAGGCTGTGGTCACCCAGTCCGTGGCTTGGTTTTATAGGTGATAAAATGGAGTTTCTGGGAGAGGAAGGGGTTCACCCAAGATCACAAATTCAGTGCTCTGGGGTTCCCAGAGTTCAGCTTCCTGCTGAAGGCACCGCCCCTTCCACGTAGCTGGTTGCTAAGCAAGCTCAGAGCTTCAGCCCAGAGCCCTCACCTCAGCCACTCCACATGGGGGTCTCCCTCGGAGCACTCCACTCCCTTCCTGGGCCCCAGTTGTGGGGAGGGCTCTTTGTGGGGGGACTTACTTTGTGACTCTCATCCCACAAAACAAGTCTTGGCATCCAGCGTCTGAAATATCAGCCTCTGCCGTCCTGCCTTATTTGCATTTCAAAAGGTCTCTTTAGGATTTGATTGGACTTTAAGATATTCTTAAGAGCCCGTCTGGTGTTCAGCTTTCTTCCTGGCTCCGTGGTTTCTACCTGGGCTGCACAGTAGAATCACTTGGGAAGCTATTTTAAAATACTGATCAGCCTTGGATTTGCTGTGGGACCTTGCTTGCACCTTCAGTGAGAGGGGGGCTTGGATTACATCACTGGTTCTCCTCTTCAGGGATGGGGTGTAAGAGGGGGAGGTAGGAAGGGCATGTATTCAAACCACACCAGATCATTCTCAAAAAATATCTACGCAGCCCTGACCATTGTGGGTATCGATGCACAAGAGGAAAGTTTACCAGTTCGATTCCTGGTCTGGGCACACGCCTGGGCTGTGGTTTCGCTCCCTGCTTAGGGTGCATATGAGAGGCAACTGATCCATGTTTCTCACATTGATGTTTTTCTCCCTCTCTCCTTCCCTCCCCCCAACAAAAATAAATGAAATCTTAAAAAAAAAAAAACCAAAACCCAAAACCCTGCCCAACCTGAAAAGACAGAAGCCACCTACGTGAATCACCCCTGAATGGGAAGAAGTGTTCAGGGGAATCATGCATCTAACTGAATGACTTGTAAACATTGAGAAACGTCAGTAATGACTATTGTAACCTCTTAACCTTTTCTCCTCGAATTCCCCTCCATAGGCCCTGCCATTTTGTATTCTTGCCAGAGATACATGAGGGTTCCTGTTTCTCCATAGCTTCAGTAAAATATGTTTAAGATATTTGGATTTTTGCCAATTTGATAGGTGAGAAATAATATCTTGGTGTTGTTTTCTTTTTAATCTTTATTGTATTTTTTTTTCCATTACCATTTAGTTCCCTTATACCCCCATCCCCCAGCTCTCAATGTAGTTTTTTGGTGTTTGGTTTTTTTTAAAGGATTTTATTTATTTATTTTTAGGTAGAGGGGAAGGGAGGGAGAAAGAAGGAAGAGAAACATCAGTGTGTGGTTGCCTCTCACACGCCCCGCACTGGGGACCTGGCCCACAACCCAGGCATGTGCCCTGACTTTGAACTGGTGACCCTTTGATTCACAGGCCGGCATTCAATCCACTGAGCCACATCAGCCAAGGCTCTCAGTGTAGTTTTAATTTTCATTTCTCTATTGAACAGCGTCCAGTTACCTTTCTTTTCCTGAGAACTCTTTTCCATATCACTACCACATTTTTCTATATGTTTGTTGGCTTTTCTATTCTCTACTTTGTGAAGCTGTTTACGTATTTAGGATACTAATCCTTTGTCAATTTATAAATTGCAAATACTTTTCCCAGTTTCCCATTGATATATTTCTTAAATTTTAAAAAAATTTTATTTATTATTTATTTATTTGTTTGAGAGAGAGAGAGAGAGAGGAAGGGGGAGGGAGAGAAACATTGATTTGTTGCTCCACTTATTTATGCATTCGTTGGCTGATTCCTGTATGTGTGCTGACCTGGGATCAAACCTGCAACCTTGGCATATCAGGACGATGCTCTAACCAACTGAGTTACTCGGCCAGAGCATGCCACTTATATTTTTACTTTTCTTAAGGTGTATTTTTTTTCTCGTGTAGATTTTGCTTACCTGATCAAACATATTGATGTTTCTTCCCCTATCACTTCTGGATTTTTGAGTCATGACTATTGTCATAGTCTTATTTTGCTTTAATCTGCAGACTTTTACCAATTTAAATTGGGATCAGTCCATCACCATTCCCAAGACTCCTGTGGAATTATGATTTGTTACTCCCATCCCATATTCATTCATTCTGAATTGAAGTCTGACCAGGATGCCGGTTCCATGGACATTCTGAGGACAGGATTTCCTCTGAGATGGAGCTTTGCATGCAGAGACTGGTGGAAGAGTCCCCTGGGAAATAATACCATCAGGAAGTGAGGCAGAGGGAGAAGCTGGAGTGCGACTGGGGTGTGGAGCCTTCGCACCAGTGGCCCAGCCAGTCTCATGGGGAGTTGTCCCAAGTTGAGGCAGGGGAGTGTGGACCAGTGCTTGGTTGTGGGCTGCCGGAAGGAGGACTCAGCTTTGCTGTCTTGGGGGAGGGGGAAGATGAGTGCCCTAGTCCTGAACGGAGGATCCGGGTGGAGCACCACAGCATCCTCCCCAAGTACCCTGTCTGTCGCGGTCCCTGCTGTGTTCTCTACACCAAACTGTGCCTAGCACGTAATAGGTGCTCAAGGAGTCTTTGATGAATGAATGAAGGACAAACAGGAACAGAAACCCAGATATCTGGGTGTCAGCCCAGGCCGGCTGGATCTCAGTGTGGTGGTAGGGGAGGCGGGAGGCACCCTGGGCAGGTGAGCTCAGAATCAGCTCCTCCAGTGCTTCTGGCCTGTCCCCCGTGGGCCGCCCTCTGGGTGGTCTTGAGAGCCCCTCTGGCTCAGCAGCTGATGCTGCTCAAGGCCCGGAGATGGCTGGGCTGGGGTGGAGAGGGGGGCCCTCCGTGGAACCTCAGGCTCTGTGACTTCTCTTTGGATGCATGTCACCAACATGAGCTTTAAATGCTGACTTTTTTTTTTAATCTCCCTTCAGCATTCCTTGAAGAAAAGAGGAACCCGTTCCCTGGGGAAGACAGACAAGAAGCCTTCAGTGCAGGTACTTTCCAACAGTTCCCGCAGGCCCCACTGGCAGGTTTGAGTCTTAAGGCTGAAGGCCTAACTCCAGGTGGCCTGGGGGGGTCCCCAGAGATACCCACCCCTCTCCATATTTTACCCTGTCCTCCCCTTGTTCATTTTCTTAGCTTCGCTGCCCACTTCACTTCCCCAAACCATGCGCTGAACCTGTGGTTCTCACACACCCAGATAAAGTGCTATATGTAACAAAGGCCAGACATGGGATACAGTTAGCCTGTGGTAGTCTTAGGTTGTCAGGGTGCCAGGCACTCTTCACGAATTGTCTCATCTAATCCTCTCCATGGCTCTGTGAGGGAGGGAGTGTTATTGTTTCATTTTACAGGCGAGGAAACTGTCATAATAATGGTGGTAGTGGTAGCAGCAGCAGTAGTTACCCTGGAAAAATGTTGCCTACTCCAGGAAGCCCTTCTGGATTCCCCAGGCTATATGTGATGCTCCATCTTTGCTGCTTTATCAATGACCTCCTCTGTTTCCCTCTGGACTCCCAGCTCCTTGAGGGTTGGCGCTGCTTCTGCTTTATTCCTGTTTCCCCAGCACATAGTTGGTGCAACCAGAAATGTTGTGGTTGGTAGTAAGCCTTACCCTTCCTGTGTCCTCTCTGTCCCTGTGCCCATCGGGCTGCAGGAGGACAGCGCAGACTTGAAGTGCCAACTGCACTTTGCAAAGGAAGAGTCAGCCCTTATGTGCAAGAAGCTCACCAAGCTGGCCAAGGAGAACGACAGCATGAAGGAGGAGCTGCTCAAGTACCGCTCCCTCTACGGTGACCTGGACAGCGCCCTATCAGTGGAGGAGCTGGCCGATGCACCCCACTCGCGGGAGACCGAGCTGAAGGTGCATCTGAAGCTGGTGGAGGAGGAGGCCAACTTGCTGAGCCGCCGCATCGTGGAGCTGGAGGTGGAGAACCGAGGCTTGCGGGCCGAGATGGATGACATGAAGGATCACGGTGGCAGTGGTGGGGGCCCAGAGGCGCGCCTGGCCTTCTCCGCCCTGGGTGGCAGTGAGTGTGGGGAGAGCTTGGCGGAGCTGCGGCGACACCTGCAGTTTGTGGAGGAGGAGGCGGAGCTGCTGCGGCGCTCCTCGGCTGAACTCGAGGACCAGAACAAGCTGCTGCTGACCGAGCTGGCCAAGTACCGCTCAGAGCACGAGCTGGATGTGACACTGTCAGAGGACAGCTGCTCGGTGCTGAGCGAGCCCTCACAGGAGGAGCTGGCAGCCGCCAAACTGCAGATCGGTGAGCTCAGTGGTAAGGTCAAGAAGCTCCAGTATGAGAATCGTGTGCTCCTGTCCAACCTGCAGCGCTGCGATCTTGCCTCCTGCCAGAGAACACGGCCGATGCTGGAGACAGACGCCGAGGCAGGGGACTCTGCCCAGTGCGTGCCCGCTGCCCTTGGCGAAGCCCATGGCCCCCATGCCACCCGCCTCTGCAGAGCCAGAGAGGCTGAGGCACTGCCTGGTCTCAGGGAGCAGGCTGCCCTGGTCAGCAAGGCCATTGACGTCCTGGTAGCCGATGCTAACGGCTTCTCGGCCGGCCTCCGCCTGTATCTGGACAATGAGTGTGCTGACTTCCGGCTGCACGAGGCCCCTGACAACAGCGAGGGCCCCAGGGACACCAAGCTCATCCATGCTATCCTGGTTCGGCTGAGCATGCTCCAGCAGGAGCTCAACGCCTTCACGCGGAAGGCAGACGCAGTCCTCGGGAGTTCTGCCAAGGAGCCGCAAGAGCCCTTCTCGTCGCTGACCCCCTTGGGCTCCCAGGGGCCCTCCAAGGAGATTCTTCTGGCCAAAGACCTTGGCTCAGACTTCCAGGTAAGATGTCCCAGTCACAGGTCCTGTTACTTTTTTTGATAGAATGTTTTTTACTGAACCATAACATGCAGATAGAGAGGTACACAAAGCACAGGTGTAGAGCTTAGGATTTTCCCAAGGTGAGCTCATTCATATAATCATTACCCAGAACAAGAACTAGAACATGACCAGCACCCCAAAAGCCTCTCCTCGTGTCCCGTTCTAGCCACAGTGCCTGCTCCCCAGGGTAGCCTGATTCAGTTTTGTTTGCCTTTGAACCTTATATAAATTGACTCACATAGTACACACTTGTGCCTGACGTCCTTCTCTCACTATTACGTTCGTTGTCGCATGTGGCAATAGTTTATGAATTCTCATTACTGGATATGATCTCATTGGGTGAATATGCCGCAATTCCCTTACTCGTTTGCTGTTGATAGATACAGGGAGTGATACGGAGGCCGTCTTTTTTCCCGGTTGCCCTTTCTTTTCTTGTTTCTCTTGCAATCTTTTTGCCTTAAAACAAGCATTAAAACAACTTTTGTTCAGGTCCTATGCAAAGGCGAGAAACTTGGCTTTCTAACGGGAATGAACTGCCAGCCTTGATGTCTATGAAATGATACTTAGAAAAATTAGAATAACAAATGCATTTGTCCCTCAGAAATGCAGTGCTGCCAAAGGAGTCCATAAGCATTCAAAGAGCTTTAGCAACACCTGAGCAAAAGGTGCTCCTTGCTGCTTCTCACTCCCTGCGGGTACTGCCTTTAATAGTCTGGAGCAGCTCTGGCCAATTCAGTGGCCAACACATGTGGCTACTTTAATTTAAATGAATAAAAATTACGTACAATGGAAAATTTAGTTCCTCGGCAGCAATAGCCACATTTCAAGTGCTCAGTAGCTGCATGTGTCAAATGGTGCAGATCTAGACTATTTCTTCACCACAGCAAAACCCCTCTAAATCTTTCTCTAAACCTGGTCGGGTAGCTCAGTTGGTTAAAGTGTTTTCCTGATATCCCAAAGTTGTGGGTTCAGTCTCTGGCCAGGACACATACAAAAATTAACCAATGAATGCATCAGTAAGTGGAACAACAAATCAATGTTTCTCTCTAAAACCAACCAATCAATAAATTAATTAAACCTTCCTCTACATATACTCTCATATATATTTTTTCACGCAAATTGTCTTTTGTTGTACCTACTATTACCACACAACTTATTTTTCCTCATTATTGATTCATTTACTTATGGTGCTGTATTTATCGTTCATATATTTTTTGGGCTCGGTGCTGGAGGTGCCGTGGTAAGCAAAAACAGATATGAGTCCTTCCCCCAACGCCCCCTTCCCCACCCCTGCCCCTATTATCTAGCAGGAAAAAAGAGATGTCAGTCAAAGGATGCCAATGAATATGAAATTAGTAACTGAGATAAAAGTTCTCAAGGAAAGATCCTTGGTCCTATGAAGAAGGATCTTGACCTAGACGCTGGTCAGGGAAGGCCTCTGATCTGAGCTGAGGTCAGAAGGATGGGTTACCACGGGAAGAGTTCTAAGCAGAAGGAACAGACTGTGCAAAGGCATCATGGCTGGAAGGAGCATGGTGTGTCCAAGAACTAAGAGGAGGAATGAGGCTGGACTGCAGACGGCATCAGAAAGGCTTAAGCTTCACCCTGAGAGCAGCGGGATGGGTCTTTCCATGTCTACAGAGAGATTTAGCTCTTTCGTTTCACAACTACACAGTGTGGTGGGGCCATACTTTCTTTAATCAGTTCTCCGTTGACCTGGCTTGATCTTGCTTTTATAAGCAAGCAGGCTGCCCCATGTTAGGTTGTCCCTTGGTTCTTCTTGAGATTGGAATGAGCTGGGGCTGCACATGGGGTAGGACAGGTGAGGGTGGCTCAGAGATTTGTGCACAAGATGGACATTCACAAAATCAGTGTTTCACTTATCACTTACCTAGTGATTCATCCTTTCAACAAACATTTATTGAGTGGTTGCAATGCCCTAACCAGGGCTGGGTCTGGGGTGCCGAGGTGGATCCACCGTGGTCCTAGCCCTCAGGTGGGTGGTCAGAGCCTCTTCCGGAGCCCAGAGGCCTGGGGTGGGACTGTTTCTGGCACCCATCAGGCCCGTTCCCATGGTTTTCTTTGGCCTCTTCTGCCTGTGCCTCTGGTGCAGCCGCCTGACTTCAGGGACCTGCCGGAATGGGAGCCCAGGATACGAGAGGCCTTCCGCACTGGCGACTTGGACTCCAAGCCTGACCCCAGCCGGAGCTTCAGGCCTTACCGAGCCGAAGACAATGATTCCTACGCCTCTGAGGTGGGCCTCGGCCTGAGCCAGCAGGGGGTGGGAGGAAGAGAGTGGCCAGGGCTTACCAAAAGCAGTGGGACCCATGGGGACTCTTAGCTGGTGACGATACCCATTCTGAGCATTCCATTTGGTTTCAAGCTTCCTAAGACAAAAAAGGGAAACAATGACGGTTGGGCCATTCTCATGGCCTGATAAAAGGGAGCTTATAAACTCAGCTGAAGAAATTGGTTTTTTTCCTATATATACTAAATTCCACTGGGAATTCAATAATGTATGGCATTTAATGGAACCACTTGTTTATGTATAAGAAGGAAGCCGTCTCCACAGTCTGACTGACAGGGTTCAAATCGTGGGTCCACTTTATACTGGCTGTAAGTCACTTGACCTCTCTGGTCCTCAGTTTCTCACCTTTAAAATAAAAGTGATCCCTCATAGTGTTGTTGAAAGGATTAAACATACAAAAAGCCTTAGTGTAAGCCTGGTCCATGCTGGGTGAGGATGAGGAGGATGATGATGATGACACATCACTGGGCCTTAGGGGACCTACCATTGTGGCTGTGTGGCCTTGGGCACAGGCACAGTCTTGCTCCGATGCAGCTTCCCCATCTGTAACATGGGAAGTTTAGAGTTGGTAGTGGCTGTAGAACTGGTACAATTCTCCAGTCCTTGAGGAATTCTGGGTAGTTTCAAGCCCCCCGCCCCCCAAGCCTACTCCTGAGCCCTTCCCTATCACTTTATCACTTATGATGAACCTGAAGCAGGAAATGGCTCCTCTAGTCTGGGTAGGACCTACCTGAGGTTCCCAAACCATGGAGAGCCCTCTGTGTGCCCCAACATGCGTACCCTTTTCTTCTGAGCATCCCTGGGAAGGCACATTTGGGGTCCCAGGAAGATCAGCCTGCAACTATGCAGAATGAGTAGTTCCCTTAAATTTGAAGGATCAAATTCCCTAAGTGATCTGAGTTTTGGAAAAGGAAATGGGCCAGCTCACCGGCAGAGACAAAATTTCCGGCACGCATTCAGTTATTGTTTCATTCAACCACTCTTTATTGAGCAGTTCCAATTTGCCTGGCACTGTGTTGGGTGCTGAGTTCCAGGAAAACACCAGAGATAGCAGAACTCACCCTGCAAGGATATTTAATACAAAACAGGTATATAAGGTATACCTCAAGTCAGTGTCTTCCAAGGCCAAACTTCCACATTATGGCCCAGATAATAAATGTGTATTTTTTTCACGGAGTGACACCTTGCCATGCCTGGGGCAGAGGGGAGTTAGGTAAGGTTGGAGCTGACATTTCCTTTTATATCCTGCCTAACATGACAGCATAAACATTTTCCTCTGTTACTACTGAATAGAAATACTTGAAAAGAAATTTGTCAGTGTAGTGTAACTTCCGTACGGAAAAGCATTTATATTGTAAGTGGACACCACAGATAATATCCACAAACTGAATACTCCTATGTAATCAGCAAGAAGATGAATAAACAAACATGACCTCCTCCTGGGAGCCTGCCCATGTCCCCTTCTGGTCACCATCCTGACTTCTAACAGAATGCGTTAGTTTTGCCTGTTTAGCAACAAATACTTATAACACAATTTCCCTTGAAAATGTAGAGTTTTACTGTCTTTTTCTTAAGATTTTATTACATAGTTATTATTATAACACAGAGCTACACAGAGTCTCTAAGCACCATTGCATAAAGGTATAAAGAAGAAAGCTGAGATCACAGGCTCATCACACAGTTACTACTGTTAACATTTAGTGTGTGTGTCCATGGCCTTCATGGTTTTCTACTGAAATATGTATCTCTTTAAACTCTTCATTGAAGTATAATGTAATATAATATACATATGATAATATACATGCAGTAAAGGACACCATCCTAAAGGGTATAGTTAATAGATTTTTACCTATGTGTAGACCCATTAAATACATATATTGATCCTCATTATTAGGTGATTGTAAATTTTTGCACATACAAACAATGAGATAATGCACATTTTTGCATATCAAACTCAGTTTCCACAGTATATTATTTCCTTCAAGTACATTTTAAAGAGAAACATTATCAAGTTAAAATTGTAATAGCTAGATTTGATGTGCACCGTTTTGTGTGGCCGTCATGACAGCCCGCTGAGGTGGGTCTGCCATTGTGCCTGACCTGTATTTGAGGGGCAGCTTGGGGCTGACTTACAGCTGCTGCCCTCCTACCGCTCTGGTCCTCTTACCACAGTTCCTAACCTCCCCTTGCTCTCTCCCGCCTTATTTTCTTTGTCCCTCATCCCTACCCCAGATCAAGGAGCTGCAGCTGGTGCTGGCTGAGGCCCACGACAGCCTCCGGGGCCTGCAAGAACAGCTCTCCCAGGAGCGGCAGCTGCGGAAGGAGGAGGCTGACAACTTCAACCAGAAAATGGTCCAGGTGCGTGGCGCCCAGTGCCCTCTCTGCACGCACTCCAGCCTCCCTTCTCTGCACCGAAGGCAGAAACCTCAGGTGTCCGCGAGGCTTCAGAAGGCAGGACTATCCGGGGAAACTTTGCTGCCTCATGCTGTGCTCACAGTTGTGTCACTGAGTCCATTAGCTCTGCTGGGCTGGAATCCTGGGCTTGTCATTGACTTCCTGAGTGACCTCAGGCCGATTCTGTCTCCTCTCTGGGGCTCAGTTCCCCATCTGTGAAGTACTGCCCCCATCAGAGCTGAAAACCTGTAGCCTGAAGGCCGCAGGCCTGTCTGGTAGTCCAGGTGATAGTCCTGTCAATAGGAAGCATTTATTAAGCCCTTCCTGTATGTCAGGCCTGTGCAGTGTACTTCCACACATTATGTCCTTTAACCCTCATGTCTTCCCCTGTGCAGTGTCCCCATTTTCCAGGTGGGGAAACTGATTCCCAGAGAGCTGAAGTGCTTTGCCCGGGATTTCACATCCAGGCGAGGTGGGGCTGGGATTCTCATGCAGGTCTCTTAGCCATGACTCAGTAATGCATTCTCTAGAGTGTTGCACGTGCTCAGTCTTCCTCATCCCAGCATGCCCTTTGCACCCCATGTGGGTCACTCTTCCTGCCTTCATTGCTCACCCTCCCAGGTTCCTCACTGAATGTGAACTCATGTGAAACATTGGCATCCAGCACGTGCTTATTAGACTATGTCATGGTTTTTATAGTCAGAGCTGGGTTCAGATCCCAGCTGTTCTCAGTTTGAGTAACTGATTGCTGCTGCTTTTATGAGTTCCCCTTCCCTGGAGTAGCAGAGGGCATTGTTTATCTCAACAGAATGAGCCGCTAGTGGTGGAATCCCTGGCAGGGATCACCAACAAGCACCACCCAGATTTTCTTCCTTGTCCTTGTCAGAAGCCTGGAATGGGGCGGGGTGGTGCCCAGGGAGACAGCTGGATTGCTCACGATCTCGTCTCCCTCGAAGCTGAAGGAGGACCAGCAGAGGGCGCTCCTGAGGCGCGAGTTCGAGCTGCAGAGCCTGAGTCTCCAACGCAGGCTGGAGCAGAAGTTCTGGAGCCAGGAGAAGAACATGCTGGTGCAGGAGTCCCAGCAGTTCAAGCACAACTTCCTCCTACTCTTCATGAAGCTCAGGTGGTTCCTCAAGCGCTGGCGGCAGGGCAAGGTTTTGCCCAACGAGGGGGATGACTTCCTTGAGGTATATTTCCCCGGGAACTGGGACTGGGAAAGGGGTGGTGTGGGAGAGAGAGGCCCGGAGGGACAACCAGCCGGCATCGACACAGCTCTGAGGCTCATGCCCAAGCCCGCAGCTTGCAGGCTTCATTCAGAGTCTGTGGGTGAGAACCAGCTCTCTACTGGGCACTGTGGCAGGCGCTGGGGATATCGTAGTGAAGAAGACAGACTTAGTCCCAGCCTCGGGAGGAGAAAGTCTCTTTTGGGGGCAGGGGCTGGTAGGTCTCTAATACCTGTTCATTTCTCTTTTAACAAATCTTGGAGTCTTCAGCAGGCAACAATCTAGTTTTGTTGTTATTGCATTCTATTCAAATATAGTGTGTTTTTTACTCCTTTAAAGTATAACATACAGGAAAGTGCATACATCGACTGTACAGCTGAAGTTTTATAGTGTTCATCTGTATCATCCCCAACAAGTCGCGATGGAGTGCATGTCATGGTCCCAGAAGCCTCCTTCATGCCCCAGTCAATACGCCCACCCCAGCAGTCAGCATTATTCTGATTTCTTATACCATCGATTAATCTTGCCTATTGTAATTTATATAAGTGCAAGCAGCCTTTTGTGTCTCCCTTCTTTTGCTCAATATAATTTTTTTAAGATTCATCCATGTTTTTTATATAGAAGTAGTTCACTTTTTTTATTGTTAATTTTTGACTTAATAATATACCCATTTTATGTTTAATGTTACCTTTGTTATATAGCAATGGGTATTGGCTTTCCAGTTTTCATAATAATAATAATTTACTTTTTAAGATATATTTATTTAACTAGAAAGAGTAGGTTGACTTGAAAACATTAATGATACTACAGGTAGTATTTGGATGTGGCAGGAAACCAGAGGCGTGGAACTTTGGGAATGCAGGAAGCTTGAGAGGCCTCCTGTGGCCCATTTGTCCCTCAGCCTGTGCAGGGTCCTTTGTTCCTTAAAGCCCCTACCTCCCGTCCTCATCAGCTGCTAACCAACACTGCATCGCACTAACACTGCTAAGAGAAGGGGCATATAAGGGCATCAAACCTCAGCCACACTTGGGTGGGTTGACACTGCTCACCTTGGCTTTTTGGGTACAGCTACCTCTGGTCTAGCCTGAATTCGGCCCCCCTTTCACTTAAGCTCCCCTTTCCTGAGCTAGTGGGGCCCAGTGACACTTCCCAAGTCCTCTTGTAACCCTATCAGGGGACCCCCAGAATAGTCTTAATGCCCCAGGAGCAGAGCTGGTGGTTAGACCTGAATCTTTGGCAAGAGTCCCCTTCCCTCCCCTCCAATGGAACTCATAGTTCAGGCACTAACCTCCTCCCCAGGGGCGTCTTGGGAGGGTCATGGATCATCATTAAATGGACCTCACCGTGGAGTATCTGACACAGAGGTGCCCCTAGGAGGAGCAGCTTGAAAGTCTGTCTACCATGCTGCCCCTTGAGCATCACCCTCTGTGACACCTGGGGCCTCCTATTTGGAGCCACTGTTGCTGTTTGCCTCCCCTTCCGTGGCATTTGAAAATTTAGGACTGCCTCTCCTCTTTGGAAGTTTGACCTGGGCCTTTGGATGAAGCCTAGTTTGTTTGTTTTTTAATGAATTTTTAAATTTTTATTTTTTTTAATTGTAAATACACGTAACAGAAATTTTGCCAATTACATATATTTCTAATATATATATATATAATTAATATATATACAGTTCAGTGACATTACATACGTTCACATTGTTGTTCAGCCATCACCACCATCCGTCTCCAGTTCTTTTCATCTTGCAGAACTAAAACTCTGGACCCACTAAACACTAAATCGCTATTCCCCGCCCCCTAGTCCTTGACAACCACCATTCTACTTTCTGTCCCTATGATTTTGACTATGCTAGGTACCTCATGTGAGTGGACCAGTATTTGTCCTTTTGTGTCTGGCTTATTTCACTTAGCATAATGAATTCAATGTTTATCCATGTTGTAACATGTTGGGAAGTTTTTTTTCTCTCTAAGGATATTATTCCATGGTATCAACAAACCACATTTTTTCAGCTCTACTGAGGTATAATTGCCACATGGGAGTTGTGTATATTTAAGATGTACAACCTGATTTTTTAAAAATTTTTTTAAAAATTGAATTTAGAGAGACAGGAAGAAAGAGACTAGAGGTACCTGTACCCAAAAAGCCAAGGTGAGCAATGTCAACCCACCCCAGTGACGCCCCAGGTGTCACTGAAGTGTTGTTCCACTTATCCATGCACTCACTAGTCGCTTCTTGTATATGTCCTGACCAGGGATAGAACATGCAACCTTGGTGTATGGGGACTACGCTCTAAACAACTGAGCCAGGGCTACAACTTGATATTTTGATATATGTTTACATTGTGAAATGACCACTTCAATCAAGTTAACATTCAGTACCTCATATAGTCTTTCTTTCTTTCCCCCTCCCTCCCTCCCTCCCTCCCTCCCTCTCTCCCTCCTTCTTTCTTTCTTTCTTTCTTTCTTTCTTTCTTTCTTTCTTTCTTTCTTTCCTTTCTTTCTTTCTTTCTTCACTTAAGATCCAGTCTCTTAGCAACTTTCAGGTGTACAATACAGTATTGTCAGCTGCAATCACCATGTTGTACATTTGATATCCAGAATTATTCATCCTGCAAAACTGAAACTTTGTGCCCTTTGACCTACACCTCCCATTCCCCCCTCCCCTGCTCTTGGCAACCACTGTTCTGCTGCTTGTGTGTGTTTGACTTTTTTCAGATTCCACATCTGAGTGAGATCTCACAGTATATGTCTCTCTGTGTCTGGCTTATTTCTCTTAGCATAATGTCCACCAGGTCCATCCATGTTGTCAAAAACGTCAGGATTTCCTTCCTTTCTTAAGGCTGAGTAATGTTCCATTGTTTATATATACTATATTTTCTTTATCCATTCATTCATCGATAGACACTTAAGTTGTTCCCATATCTTAGCTACCGTGAATAATGCTGCAGTGAACACAAGGGAATACAAATATTTCTTTGAGATCCAGATATCATTTCCTTTGGATATATAGCCAGAAGTGATTGCTGGATTCACATGTTCTATTTTTACATTTTTGGGGAAACCACTATGCTGTTATCCATAGCTAGAGCTCAGTTTTGGTTGCTAGGGAAAATGCTCCCTCACGCCCTCCACAGTGAATTGCCTGCTGGCCACAGAGCCTGTATTTTAAATCAGGTTTTCTCGGACAAACTTTTCGTATTTGGTGAAAATCTTCCTAGCCATTATTTATTGGAGTGACAGAGAAACAGAAGCTTACTTTAGGGGGGAAAAGGTGTAAGCATAAAAATTAAATATATATGCCTATAATTAATAAAAATATAAATATTTACTGAGACACAATTAAGATATAAACATAACATACATGTTAAAATACATGTATAAAATATGAGATAAAGCACATATGTATAAAATACACATAAACATACATAATAAGATACATATTAACTATAACTAATAAACTTGATATACATTCATACTTTTAAAAAATATACACATCCACACATGCAGAATTAAAGCTACCTGTGTGAATGATAATGCTTATGCACTGAGTATTTATAGTGTTCTGGGCATTGCATTAAGTGCTTTAAGCAGATTGTTGTATTTTACTTTTACCCTGTGGTATGGAGACAATTATTATCCCCATTCTACTGCAGATAAAAATCTTTGACTCCTTGTCCTCAATTCTGGAACCCAAAAGCTCTGAGAACTGTGTTTCTTTGTGTCTGACTCATTTGGAAAAAATTGGCCTGACATTCATTTGGCAGCAAAACCTTTATTCATTCCATTTCATGTTAGTTAATATTCATATGTTTGTAGGGGAAATACTGGTGTCCTTGAGCACAGAATGTTACGTCAGACTTTGCCAAGGTTGTTTAATAATACACAGTGTAGGTACCATATTAGTTTTCCAAATCCCAATGAATTCTGAATTCCAAACATACGTGGCCCTAAGGATTTCAGAGAAAGACTTGTGCACCTGTGTATATACAGTCAGAAGACTGTATACTTAAATACTTGTGACCGGGGATAGGGTTGGGGTGTTTATTCATGTAGGCCCTGCTGCCCCTACATGCTTTCCAGCCTCAGTTCCTGCCTGACCCTGGAAACCCTTATTCATTTGGTTTCTAGGACACACTCTTGGCTTTTCTGCCCCCTCCCTGGTTGCTCTGTCTCAGACTCCTTGGCTGGACCCCCTGGCTCTCCCTGACCTGACCTCTGAATGTCAGAGTCCCAGGGCTCAGCCCTCAGCCTGCATTTCCCCTTCACCTACGCTTACTCGCTTGGGGAGCTCATCCAGGCATATGGCTTCAAAGGCCTTTCTTGTACATTATGAATCTATTCAGAATCTGACCCAGCTGCACCGCCTGTCCCCACCCCAGTAGGAGCCATCGTCATGTCTTGTGTGGGTTGTCTCAGGAGCCTCCCTGCCTCTGCCCCTGCACCCTTCCATCAAGCGTCTTGTATTCGCACAGGTACAGCAAGGCCTTAGACCCGAGGTGATATTTGGGCAAAGTCCTGAAGGCAGTAAGAGAATAAGCCGTGAGGGTAACTGCCAGTCGAGAATCCCAGGAAAAGGACAAACCCCAACGCAAAGGCCCTGAGGTGGGAACCTGTCTGAGGAAGTGAGAGACGTAAGAGGAACAAGGCTGGGTGACCAGGCCACTGTGGGGACGACTTTGGCCTCTATTCTGAGTGAAATGGGAGCAAGGTACCAGGCAGCATGTGCTCCACATGGACGGTGCCCCTTGGGGTTGTGTGACATGGGGCTCTGTGGCTACCCTGTATCTCATCATAGCACCCAGAGGGAGCTTGAGAGACTAAAAGTCAGGCCGGCGTCACTCCGCGGCTCGCAGTCCTCCCCTCACTCCCGTTTCGCCCAGAGTAGAAGCCAAAGTCCCTGCAGCGGCCTGGTCACCCAGCCTTGTTCCCTTTACTTCTCTCACTTCCTCAAACAGACAGGTTCCCACCTTAGGACCCTTACATAGGTTTTGTCCTTTTCCTGGAACCTCGACCTGCAGTTACCCTCACGGCTTATTCTCTTACTGCCTTCAGGACTTTGCCCAAATATCACCTTGGGTCTAAGGCCTTCCTTGGCCACCCAGGGACAGCACATCTGAGCTCCTTTCCCTGCTCTCTTTTTCTCCATAGCACTTATTATTCTGTGACATTCCATATATTTAATGACATTTCATGCCTTTCATGTATTTGCTTGTTTTCTTGTTACTGGAATAGAAGCAAAAAGGGGCCGGTGTTCTTTGTCTGGCTTGCTCACTGGTGTGTCTCCAGTTCTGAACACAAGGCCTGGCACATGATACGTGTTCAATGAATATTTGTTGAACAAATGAGGACTGTGCCCCAGTGAGGAGGTGGCTTCCTCCTGCTCCGTTCCTATCCTGAACTAGTTCCCCGGTCTCCTTGGCAGGCCCGGGACTCCTGCCCAGATTCCCTCAGCAACAAATGCTGCCTCCCAGGAAATCTCCCTTCTGCCTCAAACCGCCGGTTCCCTTTTCTGTAATCCTGCAGGTACCTGTGGCTTTTATTCCAGCCACAGCGCCTACTTTGACCTGGCTTGACAATATGTCATGTCTGAGTAGCGCGCAGGGTGTTTGGAGCCGAGAGATGAGGGGAGGCCAGAAGTGCCCGCCTCTCCAGCTGTGCTCCTCAGCCTGGGTGGCACCCCCGGGGGTCAAAGTTAAAATTTGGGAAGTCAGTGCCAAGCGAGGTGCCATCCTGCCCCATAAACCCTGTTTTTTCTTCAAGCCTGGCTGTTTGGTCCACTTTCTACCTGGGCCACCAGCCTGAATCCCCTCTTTCTGAGGGGCAGACTCCCAGGTCTGATGCCCTCCCACCCTGTTGAATGTGTGTTTTTTTTTTTTAAACAGGTAAATAGCATGAAGGAGCTGTACCTGCTAATGGAGGAAGAGGAATTAAATGCCCAGCATTCTGATAACAAGACCTGCATGGGGGACAGCTGGACCCAGAACACGGTTTGTTTTCAGCCTGTTCCCAGTCCTGTTCTGTCCATTTGTTTCTTTGTCTGATTAATGATCACTTCCTGCTACCTCCTCTGACCTGTATTGCCCTGGGCACTAGAGCTGCAGAGGGTTATTTGCGCGGTCACTGGCCCCAGATGCTCAGTGCTGTGGGGTATAAGTCATCCCAGAGCAGTGACAGGGCCAGATGATGGACTGTGGAGTCACAGGCAAGAGAGCAGGTCACTCTGTTTGGAGCGTAGTGGACATTATCACAGAGGAGTGGTCATAGGTGGTGGGTTTTGAAGGATGAATAGGAGTTTGCCTAATAGAGAACGGGGAAAAGGCTATTCTGGGCCAAGAGGACTGTGTGCACAGAGGTGTGGCAAGGAATTCTGGGATTTGCCACATCTTGGGATGTACATAGTGGAGATGAGGACATCAAGTTGGGGTCATATGAAGATGGGCCTTGTGGTCTGGGGTCAGGAGCCCTCAAATCAAGCCATGGTGTAGAGAGAGCAGTGGGGTCAGGCTCTCAGGGGTATAACCAGTGAGCTTGGGTGTGGGTAGGAGACAGGCCAGGGGCCAAGGAGAGGAGACTGGAGCCGAGTCAGGCAGTCGGGGAGGCTCCATGGTTCAGACTCCTTATCCGGCCCACGGTGGGTCACAGAGGCAGATCCTAGGCAAGGAGAAGGACCCCAGGGCCTAGACACGGCAGGACTTCAGAGAAGCCAGGGCCCAGCTCAGACTTAAACTGAGCTATCGTTGCTGTAACTGCAAGGTGTTTGTTTACATGAGGCTGGAATATATTTTGGCCTAGGAGGTGGCCAGGGCTGAGATGACTCAGCTCAGAAATGTCAGGGCTGAAATTTAATGGGTGAGATGACCCAGAGACTTGCCCGAGGCCTTGTAGAGTCCCCGTCTGGACTCTGGGTGAGTGTTCCCAGCCCAGGCTCCCCTCGCAGCCCCTCCAACCGCTCCTGACCCAGGCCTCACCCTTGTCTGTAGCCCAATGAGTACATTAAGACACTGGCCGACATGAAGGTGACACTCAAGGAACTGTGCTGGCTGCTCCGGGATGAACGCCGTGGTCTGACTGAGCTTCAGCAACAGTTTGCCAAGGCCAAGGCCACCTGGGAGACGGAGCGAGCAGAGCTCAAAAGCCATACCACCCAGGTGAGCCTCCCACTGGTCAGAGACATCTCCCTGCTTGCTCCTGTCTCAGCCCAGCCCTCTGCTGTTGGATCTGGGAGCAGGCTGTGCAAGGCATGCCCCTAGAAGCATAGGAACCCTCACCTTGTGACCCAGAGAAGGTGAGAGACTTGCCTAGAGTCACACAGCAAGGGCATCAGAAACTGGGGACCAGGAGTCCCTGAGCAAGGGAAGGAAGGTGAGGGATTGACAGAAGGGCTGGGGGCCTCTGAGGCACCCCTGCTCTACCTGGCGCTTGCAGGTGAGGCCAGAATGCTAAGTGCCTGTCTGTACCTAGTGACTCAAAGGGAGGGACTCCTCTGCTCACAACCCAGCATGACCATAGATAGGAGCCTTAACCAGGCTCCCTGGGGGCTTGGTCTCTGCTCTGTACCTGGAGGCAAGTTGCTGCCCATCTCTGGTCTTCACCATGAGAGGGTGGGCTTCCTTCCACTCTGACCACCGCCATCCCACGCCACAACTCCGCAGGGTCAGGCTGCCTCCAGCCCGCCTTTGCTGCAGGTTACCTTCCCGAGCATTGTGGCTCCTGGGAGGTGGGTACAGTCGTTATCTCTGCTGGGCAAGTGACAAAACAGGCACAGAGGAGTTAAATTTCTTTCCCAAGGCCACCCAGCCAGTCAGGGGCAGACCTGACCTTCACCCTCCACGCCTCCGCCCCTCCTTGCCAGGGCTCACAGATTTCTGGCTTCCCGGCGCCGCCACCCTCTCCTCCTGACCCTCCCCGCAGACCTCACAGCTCCTGCCCCGTCTGCACACTCCGCGGTATCCTCTGCCTCTGCTGCCCCACCAAACCCAACCATTCCACGTGCACCTCTCCATAGGAACCTGACTGTTCCCAGTCCTGTTCTGTCCATTTGTTTCTTTGTCTGATTAATGATCACTTCCTGCTACCTCCTCGGACCTGTATTGCTCCATGAGGGTTAGGATCCCAGACCACAGCCTGGGGGATGTGGGTGCAGTAATTCTTGAGGTTGCCCGTTTACCTCCTGCCACCCCATGGTTTGGGCTGAGAAAGCCATCCTGCTAGAGTGATTCCTGCACACAGTCATGACATAAATGTTTGCATGTCCCCTGCTAACTCAGGTTACTGGTAGGAGTTGTGAAGTATCTTGGTGAAGTATCACGAGAAGCCATAATTAGGAATCTCTGCTATTTTGTAGCTGCATAACCTGGGACAAATAACTTATCTCTTTGACCCTCTTTCTTATGTTTAAAATATCAAAAATGGAAGTTATCTTGCCAAGTTTGCATGAGGATACTGCGATAATGCCTGAAAAGCCCTTAGCACAGAGCTTGACATGTAGGAAGAGTTCCACAAGCCTTGATTGGGAGGAGGGGTTAGTTCTGAGTGAGGGGTCCTCCCAGGAGAGACCTCCCCTCTTGCCCCCTGCTGGTGTGCTAGAAAGCGGGAAAGAGGGCAGGGGAGCAGCAGAGCAGCGAGGAGGGGCCTCCTGGTGCCAGTGCCCAGTCTGCTCTTTCTTTCACAGATAGAGCTGAAGGCTGGGAAGGGTGCTGGGGAGCGGACTGGGCCCGACTGGAAGGCCGCCCTGCAGAGGGAGCGGGAGGAGCAGCAGCACCTCCTGGCTGAGTCCTACAGCGCCGTCATGGAGCTGACACGGCAGCTGCAGATCAGCGAGCGCAACTGGAGCCAGGAGAAGATGCAGCTGGTGGAGCGGCTTCAGGGGGAGAAGCAGCAGGTGGAGCAGCAGGTAAAGGAACTGCAGAACCGCCTGAGCCAGGTGAGTCCCAGCCCAAGCTGGCTCAAGCTACAAGAGGCAGTCACTGTAGGAAAAGGCCTGGGGTAGGATCTCCTTCAGGTATAGCTGGATCCAGGTGCTCAGAGAATGCAGCAGGAACTAGATATCTCTCTCTGCCAGTCTCTCAGGCTTGCTTTCCTCTGTGTTTTTTCCGTAAGTGAGCTTTCCTCAAATATGGCCTCTGTTACTTTTTTGCTCTTATCCTCACAGCTTAGCAATTATAGTGGAAAGAGTTTTCCTTTTCCACAAGGCTCTACCTGGCCAGGTGTGAGTCATGTGCCCACCCCTGGTGCCTTCCAAAACCCAGGAACCAAGAGGGAAGAACCAAGGGTGGGCCCCCACGAGGACATGGAGTCCTCAGACCAAAAGAAGGGTGGTAGGAAAGATAGTCATTGACCATCACATCTGCTGCAGTTCACACCATGCATCCAGCTTAGCAAGCTGCTATGCTCCCTTATTTATTTTGGGTTTGTCCTTTGCACATTCCTTTGTTTTACTTTTTATTTTAATTACATAAATCAGAACTTCATCTTTATATAAGACCCAAATACTGCAAAAGTGTACTCCAACCCACTCCCTCTCTTTCTTGCTAAATTTATATTCCCAGAGATTCTTTTTATCATTCATTGAATCATGATGTACATATTGTTTACACTTTTCCTCTTTCATAGAGAGCTATTCACAACAAGGTGTAGAGGCTCATATCATTCAGCTCTCTGCTCTTTAGTGTTCCTAGTACAGAGTCCCCACCCTGATGTGATTCAGCTGCCTCTTATCTGATCTAGCTCTTCTAGGAACTGTAGCATGAATTAATATAATAGTGACAGCTGTATTATGATTTATATAGTATTAAATATAATGTCATCTAGAAGGATGCTCGTAAGTGGTTGCTTTCATGATCATTTCTCAAATCCACTTTGTTGGTGGCTCAGAGCTGCTGCCCACTGGGAAAGCGGCTTCTAGTCCATGATCTGGGTTCTCTGGGCTGGAGAGCAGAGCTGGGGAGTGGCCCAGCGCAGAGCAGGGCCCTGCTCACCAGCTGGGCCCACGGCCGACCACCCTCTTTACCCTCACCCAGCTTCAGAAGGCTGCTGACCCCTGGGTCCTGAAGCACTCGGACTTGGAGAAGCAGGACAACAGCTGGAAGGAGGTGAGTAGCGTAGGAGTTTACCCGTGTTCTTTTGGCTCCTGGCTGCACTGGATAAAGTCCTTCAGTTGTGGAGGATGCTAACCCTGTCCCACAGGTCACATCCTTATACCTTGGGCTCTTCAACCCTGGGGTCTCTACCCCATGTTTCCAGCCAGTGATGTGGGACTTGTGAAGGACCCTCTGAATCTTTCCATGTCTGTGAGAAAGGCTGGGTGTCTCTGTATCACTTGGCCAGGCCCCTTGCCCTCTCTGGGTTTCCTGTGTGCCTCTCTGAAAAGCCAGGCCTCTAAATAGCCATGTGACCTTGGGCAAGTCACTCTCCCTCTCTGGGCCCCGGCTGCCTCATTGGTAAAATGAGAATCACATTCTCTGCCTTAGCCCAGTCCTGGTTGTGGAGATCAGTTAGGTCACATGGGTGAAGTTTGCTCCTGAGCCTCGGGTGCTTTGTCCTTAAAGCAACGTGTTGAGTAACCAGTGAACAGACAGGCCCTTTGCATCATCCCATGTAATCCTCACGACAGCCTCAAGAGGGGGTGTGTTGATCAGGAGACTTGGCTGCAGCAAAAACTGATTCTGGGGAACTGAAGCAGGAGAGAATTTTATTAGGGGCTCCACGGGGTTGGTGACGCAGGTTCAGAAAAGCAGCGCAGGTCCTGGGGGACCGGCTCTAGACCAGGGTGGGATGAGCCCAGAGCAGGAGCCTTCAAGTCACTGCTATCACTGCCAACGGACCAGCAACCCTGGGTGCTGCCACCACGTTCAGATTAAGTTCTAAACAGACTGTTTCCATGGGGTTTTCTCTTGGAGCTCCCATGGGCCAAGCCTGGATCATACGCCTATGGGGAAGGTGGGTGCACTGTAGCCAGAAACTGACCAAACAGTAGTCTAGATCAGTGCGGACATCAATTCTGCTCTGTAACCGGGGACTCAGGCGTGAGATCTGGGGTCAGTTCCCACAGTGACCTCTTGCCACCTTCCCTCAAGGTGTCGGTGGCCAAAACTGACCCTTCTTGTCTCTGTTCCTTTACAGACACACAGTGAAAAGATCCACGACAAGGACACTGTTTCTGAAGCTGAGCTTGGGGGAACTGGCTTAAAGAGGTGCTGGCATCCCCTCTACCCACTTCCCGCTGCGGCCCCAGCCCTGCCCTGCCCTTTGCCTGCTCTGCCCCTTTGCCTTTCTTCTTTGCCAGCCCCCATGTGCCCACCACTGCGCCTCAGCAGAGCTGGGGGAATGCTGGCATATGGTTTCTCCGGAACCCAGGTCCCTTAGGGGCTTGGGATGATAATGCCTACCTGCGATTTTTTGTTTGTTTGATTCTTGGCATGGAAAACTGGGGCCCTTGCCTGTCCTTGCTACCAGAGAAACTAGCTCCTGTTGAGGTTCTTTCTTCTTGTGTCTATAGTTGAGAGTCAAGCTGGACTTCCACTCCTGGGATTATTTAGCAGCTTCCTGTGGGCCAGGGAGACCCCCCCACCAGGGCTCTCAGGAGCATGTCTCCACCATTAGAAAACCCACGAAAGAAGTGAGGGCAACAGAACCCCATAGGGGCCATGGGAGCAGCCCGAAGCCCGGATGGTGGGCTGTGGAATCGATTATGGAGTTTAAATCCCACCTCTGCCGTTTCTAGCTCTGTCACCTGGGTGATACGTCCCTCCTCAGTCCAGTGGGGATAATAGAAGCTGCCTCCTGGAGTTGCTGGGAGACCGAATGTGAGACGCACTTACACGTGCTTGGCATTTTTAGTCATCAGGCAACACCTGTGCCAGGTGTGCGCTGGAGATTTCGTGAAGTCTTAGTTTGGGTTCCCCCAAAAACAAAGACAAGGAATTGAGATCTTGTCTCAAAGATCCTGAGACAGGGGTTTGAGTGGAAATGATTTATTTGGGAGTGGATTCCAGGAAATGCCTGGCAGTGGGCAGGGTAGTAAAGGCAGGCAATAAAGGGGGTGTTAGCTTTCCATGGGCACCCTGAGCTCAGTTTCGCTGAGGAATGCTGAGAGCCAGGGCAGAGCACGCAGTTCAGAGCGCTCCCACCCAAGGGTGAAGGAGCCATGAAACCGTGCCCATTATTTGGGCAGGGCTGCGGTCTAGGACATAAGCTCTGACATTTCCAGCTTCCTCTGTGCAGAGGCCAAGTTTGCTCCTGCAGCCCGAAAAAAAAAGCCCTCAGATGCTCAGAGCCTGAAGTGTTGGGTGTGTAGGCGTGGGTGCACAGGGGATGTGGGCGGGGCGCTGACAGATTTCCACAGGAGGCGAGCAGGACAGTTGTGGTCCCGGCCCTGGCGCAGCACAAGAACCAGGGAGGAAGGCCAGATGCTTGGGGCATGTTGTCTTCCACTCACACCGCTCTTCCCCCTCACTCTTCCCAGGACCAAATCTGTTTCCTCCATGTCCGAGTTTGAAAGTTTGCTTGACTGCTCCCCCTACCTTGCCAGCGAAGCCACCCGGGGCAAGAAGCTGCCTAACAACCCTGCCTTCGCCTTTGTGGGCACCCAGCCGGCGGACTCAGAGAAGGATGCCCAGGCACAGCCACGGGACTGCAGCCACCTGGGTGCCCTGGCCTGCCAGGACCCGGCAGGGAGGCAGATGCAGCGCAGCTACACGGCTCCCGACAAGACAGGCATCCGTGTCTACTACAGCCCTCCGGTGGCCCGGCGCTTGGGTGTCCCCGTGGTCCATGATAGGGAGGGCAAGATCATCATCGAGCCTGGCTTCCTCTTCACCACCGCCAAGCCCAAAGAGTCTGCGGAGGCCAACGGGCTGGCGGAGAGTTCCTATGGTCGGTGGCTGTGCAACTTCTCCCGGCAGCGCCTGGACGGGGCCTCCGGGGCCAGCCCCTCCGCGGCCGGGCCCAGCTTTCCAGCAGCCCTGCACAACCTGGAGATGTCAGGCAACATGAGTGACGACATGAAGGAGATCACCAACTGTGTGCGCCAGGCGATGCGATCGGGCTCACTGGAGAGAAAAGTGAAGAGCACGTCCAGCCAGACAGTGGGCCTGGCCAGTGTGGGCACACAGACCATCCGCATGGTCAGCGTGGGCCTGCAGACCGACCCGCCCCGCAGCAGCCTCCATGGCAAGAGCTGGTCACCCCGCAGCTCCTCGCTCGTGTCCGTGCGCAGCAAGCAGATCTCCTCTTCCCTGGACAAGGTGCACTCGCGCATCGAGCGGCCATGCTGCTCGCCAAAGTACGGCTCGCCAAAGCTCCAGAGGCGGTCCGTGTCCAAGCTGGACGGTGGCAAGGACCGCAGCCTGTGGAACCTGCACCAGGGCAAGCAGAACGGCTCGGCGTGGGCCCGGTCCACCACTACACGGGACAGCCCCGTGTTGAGGAACATCAACGACGGGCTGTCCAGCCTCTTCAGTGTGGTGGAGCACTCAGGGAGCACAGAGTCAGTCTGGAAAGTGGGTGTGTCTGAGGCCCGGGCCAAGCCCGAGCCTCCCAGGTATGGCATTGTGCAGGAGTTCTTCCGCAATGTGTGCGGCCGGGCCCCGAGCCCCACCTCGGCAGCAGGAGAGGAGAGCACCAAGAAGCCGGAGCCCCTCTCCCCAGCCAGCTACCATCAGTCGGAGGGCATGGCCAGGATCCTGAACAAGAAGGCGGCCAAGCCAGGCAGCAGCGAGGAGGCCAGACTCTCTGTGCTCCCAGGGAAAGACGGTGTCCTCCGGGACGCAGATGGAACCCCAGTCCTCACCAGTGAGGTAGGCGGGTGCGGCTGCCCTTTTTCTTGGGAGATGGGGTTGGCTTATAAGGTTTAAGCTCTTCTGGTTGTCAAACTCAGGGAATATAGTTCATGTGTTTCATAAAGTTCTTGTGCTAGTTAGGGTTGGGTTTGGAAGGCCCCAGACCTGGAATGATGCATGGTCTGAATACCACTTAACAAGCTGCTTTGCCACCGCACACCAGAGATAGCCAGCGTCCTGACAGAGAAGGGATGTGCCCACTTCTCTCCTGTCACCAGTGATGTGCTGGAGCCGGCTGGTGTGGTTTGTGAGAGCCAGTTGTGTGCACCTCTGTGTTCAGTGACATCACCTTGGTACCTTGAGATTGGCCACAGTGGGAAGGTTTTACATTATGAAAATGGGCAAATGCCACAAGTCAGGGTCTCTCCCCTCCCTCCTGGAAAACGAGTTATTAACTATTTATCAGTACACCAATGCCCCTACCCCACCAAGACTCCATGCCTAAGTGCTCTCACTTTCTCTGGAATCTTTTGCTGCATATCCCACTCCAGATTTCAATTTCAGATTTCATTATAGATTATTTGCATATTAGTAAAAGAATGTATATAAGCTCTCTTCGCAGAAAGGCTTATGGAACCCGAGGGTAGGGACCAGAAGACCTCAGCAGCTACTCTCTGTCTCCCTCTCCTCTCTCTCAGTTTCATTTTCTCTGGTGTCCTCTTCCTTCTTCTATTTCCCTCTCTGTTGCATTTGTATAGGGCCAGGAGGGCTGTCCCAGCTCTGGTTTTATAACATCTTCCGGTTCAAGTACCTAAGGGAGACTGGACTGACTCAAACACCTCTATCCCAATTCTACATTTTTGAAAGAAAGAAACTGGTCCAACTCAAGTCCAGTATATCCTGTTGGACTGGCCAGGGAGGTGTCACGTGGTGTACAGTGCACTCAGTGAGGGTTGTAGGTGGGGGGCATGGAGGTGGAGGAGGCTGAGATTGGCCCAGCTGTATGTATTGTATGTTTAGGTGGTTTTTGATTTTTCCCTATTATAAATAATTCTGTGGTGAACATCTTGGTGCAAAAACATTTTTCCAAATTCCAGATTATTTCCATAGGTTTGAGTTGCAGAAATGGGATTACAGCGTAAAAGAATATACATTTTTAAAGTATTTGATAAATGTTGCCAAACTGTCTTTCAAGAGTTTGTCCAATTTCTACAGCCCCCAGTAGTATATGGTGAGTGCTTTACTGCTCTATACTCTCACCCAGCTGGCTGCTTAAAATCTTTTAAGTATTTCTTTCTTTCTTTTTTTTAAAGATATGTATTTATTTATTCATCTTTAGAGAGGAGAAGGGAGGGAGAAAAAGGGAGAGAAACACCAATGCATGGTTGCATCTCGTGCGCCCCCTGCTGGGGACCTGGCCTGCAACCCAGGCATGTGCCTGCCCTACACTGGGAATCGAACCAGCAATCCTTTTTTTCGCAAGCCAGTGCTCACTCCACTGAGCCACACCAGCCAGGGCATTAAGTATTTATTTCTGTTTTTAACTTTAAAAAACTTTTTAATTTAATGTACATACTGAGCATATCATAAGAATAGGCTCACTGAATTCTCACAAACTAAATATACCCATTGTATTTGGTTTTCAGGAAAACAGATCAATAGTAGGCTCTGTGTGTTTGCGTGTAATTGGTTTACACTAGTATTATGAGGAATTGGCTCGTATGATTATGGAGGCTGACAAGTCCCAAGATCTGCAGGATGAGTTAGCAAGCTGGAGACCCAGGAGAGCCAATGGTTTAGTTCCACCTGAGTCCAAAAACCTGAGAAGCAGGAGAGATGATGGTGTAGCTCTAGTGCGGTATATATACCTAATGTAGTTCCAGCCTGAAGGCTGGCAGGCATGAGTCCCAGGAAGAGCCAATGTTCCAGTTTGAGCCTGAAGGCAGGAAAACCACCTATGTCCCTGCTGAGAGGCTCTCAGGTAGGAGGAATTCTTTCTTACTCAGGGAGAGTCAGCCTTTTTCTTCTGTTCAGGACTTCAACTGATTGGATGAGGCCTACTCACATTAGGGAGGGCAGTCTGTTTTACTGAGTCTCCCGATTTAAATATTAATCTCATCCAAAAGCATCCCCACAGAAGCACCCAGGGTAATGTTTGAACAAATATCTGAGCACCCTGTGGCTTGGTCAAGTTGACACATAAAGTGAACCATCACACCCATATAACCACACCTGCATCAGGAAACAAAGGTACAAAGCTGGCTGTATTTTTTAATGTTGATTCTAAAGTTGATCCAAATATTTTTCAGTATACAAAATGTAAATGCTACTCATTGACTAGTTGTTCTCCTAGGAATGTAGCTTATGAAATATTCACGAAAGTGGGAAAACGTATTTGTATAAAGAAATATATTGCATTATTAATAAAAGTAACCAAGATTTAAGTACTTAATGGGCACTATGCCAATGCTTTATACTTCATAGCTGATTTATTCCTCACAACAACTTTGGGAAAGGTATCACATTCCTTCTTAGAGAAGAGGAAATCAAGGTTCAGAAATTTAAGTAACTCATCCAAGGTCACACAGCTGGTAAGTGGCAGGACTGGGATTTGAACCAGGCATTCTTGTTCTGTAACAGCACTTTTAACCATTGTCCCTGTGTATTGGTAATAGTAAAAAAAAAAAAAAAAAAAAATTAGAAAATACCTAAATGCACGTCAAAAATGAATTGGATGAATCAGTTAAGGTATTTCCACTCAGTGGAATAGTAGACAGCTGTTGGAAAGAAGATCTTGACATGGATCGTGACAGAAAAGTGTTCATGTTTTGCAACCGCAACATACAGGCTGTAAGAGATGAGGTCGTTTTGTTAAATATGCATGTAATTTGGTGAGAATTTCCCTTGATGTGTAGGACCATGAACAGTGTCCACTTTCTTCCCTGTGTATTCCAGAATTTATTGCATCCTGGAATGTTATGAACATTCATTACTGTTCTAATGGAAGAAAAACAATTTTTAAAAATGGGGGGCTGCAGCCCCTAGAAACTGGTCCCTGGGCGTGGCTGAGTCCAGCTCCTTGCCTGCCTGGCCATCCAACCCCAGGGTGGTCAGTGCCTCCTGGCTCCTCCTGACTCCCTCCCTCCTTCCTCTTAGGATGCGGTTTGTGACTGCAGTGCCCAGTCTCTCACCTCCTGCTTCGCGCGGTCATCACGCTCTGCCGTTCGCCACTCTCCTTCCAAGTGCAGGCTGCACCCTTCAGAGTCCAGCTGGGGTGGAGAGGAGAAAGCAGCTCCCCCCAGCGAGTGACAGCAACTGAGCTTCAGGCCTCAACCAGCCCAGTCTCTGGATAGCCGACGGGAACCAGCAGAGAGGAGGATCGCGCCCTCTGCATCACCTCACCCTGGGGGACATCAGCTGCACCATTGCCAGAGAACAGCTTTCCCATCCCCCAGGTAAAGTGGGGTGTCCTGCTGACCACTGGGGTGGCCATCTCCCACTCCCCAGGGGAAGGCAGTGAGTGGGAAAAAGACCAAAACTGCTTCGAAGTGTCTGCAGAGCGATCCAATGGGGTCTGATCCCTGGGTCCTAAAGGAAAGTCTTGCCTGGTTCCACCCACACCCACTTCTCAGAAGAGCCCAGGAAAGGATACACTTCTGGCCATGCCCCTCAGGGAAAGGGCTCACAGAGATGTTCCTTGCCAATCACACCCCCTTCATGGGAAGGAAACACCGGAAGAACAGGCTTTGCCCTAGGACTCAGCTTGGGGTTCCTGGTGGAGCTGGGCTGGGCATGACACCCACCCTTTCCTTCCCTCCACCGCGCCCTCCTCCCAGCCCCACAGCTTTGGATCGCTGTTACTCTAGGGGGTATGATAGCGCGATAGCCAGGGCCAGTACCTGCTTGGAATCACGGTGCCCTGGATCTCCCTGCTAAGGGCCTGGACGCAGCAGGGACTGGGAGACGAGGTGGGGATGCGTGGGCTCAGAGTCGGAGAGCCACTAGAACTGCCTCTCTTGCCAAATGACAACCTTCCCAGGAGATTCCTTGAGGACAGGAATAGGTAGAATCACTCCCAAGACCTGGTGCACAGATAAGTGCGTAAATGCTCGCTGCCTTGATCACTGGGGCTTCTTTTCCCAGCACCCTGGAGGGGCACCACATCTCCACTCTGTTTACATCCCGTGGCTGGTGGAGGGCAAACATGTTCCCAGTGAGAGACTCCCAGTGGCCAGGACAGACCAAGAGGCTGGTGCCCCAGGACTTAGCGGTAGACTGGGGCTTGGAAACACATTTCTTGCCTAGGTGGTTTATTTGAATTTTTCTTACTATAAATATTTAAGGTGGTTTTACTTTATTTTAATAATTTAATTTACCCAAAGTCCCTACAGTAATTTATTGGAGGTTAAGACATGTATTCTTGCCACTGGGATAATGCAAGGCTTTGAACACGACGGACAGGTGTGGGGCCCCCATGTGGATGAGACGGCTCAGCAGCCAAGCCCTGGCTTCCTGGTCAGGTTTGGGGCCCCCCCAAAACCAGCAGAGCTGGAGCTCTGCATCTTGCTCCCCCAACATCACTGACCATTGGCTCAGATCACTGTTTTTCCCTCAACGCCTGGTACTTGCCCGGCCTCTGGCAGTCAGCCTGTAAATGCTCACGGACCAGCTGGAAGGCTGGGCCCACATCACCACCTCCCAGACATTCTCCATTTCCCTTCTCATTCTCCCCTCCTCCCGTATGACACCTTTTTTTGAAAAGGTGAGTTAAACGTGGATTACTAAGGCTCTACCAAGAGCGTGGAGATCTCTCCAAGTTCCCCAAGTGAGAATTCGCAGGAAAACAGGACTGAACTTCGAGAATGTTGTTTATTGCAGCTTTGCACATGGATCTGAGAGTGTCTGCCAGCCTGCCTCAGTTCTCACCAGCCTGCCAGCCTTTCCACCAGCCTCTCTCCTTAGCCTTATGGCCTCCATGGCTCTTCTCTCAGCCCCAACTCCACTGCCCACCCTCCCCCACGTCCCATTCGAGCTGCTTGAGCAATTAGATAGATTGTGACATGGCTCATTGCAGTATGGCGAGGCGGCCTCGGGCGGCCTTCCCCTTGGGGCCATGAACCCATTTTGGTTGCACACATGCAGAGGTGTGGCCCTCCTGTGCCTGGCTGGGCGCCCAGAGTGGAAGCCCCAGGATGAAATGGTTTGTCTGTGGAATTCTCCATGAGGAAGACCAAAAGCCAGCCGCTTGGCTGGTTTGCCCCCAGGACTCAGGAGGTGCCTCTGCACTCCCACCTGCTCCTAATTCGGCCCTTTCAGGGCCACCTGGACCAGTTACTCAAAGTCCTACAGCTCCATTCTCTTTCAGCAGAACATCAGGGTCATGTTCGACCAGCCACAGAGTGACTTGTGTGGGCACAGCAGGCAGGCCAGTGGAGCCATGGGCCAGGCCCCCTGGGATGCAGTGCTCCCACCCAAGAGGGCGAGGGGCCCCTCCAAGGTTATCTCCTGGTGAGGGGACGCACAATAGGCCACAAGCCACCAGAGGCCTTCCGCCACCTCCCTGAGCTGCCGTGGGCCAGGGGGTCTGCACCCCCAGCCTTGGGTAGAAATCCTCGTGAGACCCAAAACCTGCGGCCTATGGACCGGTCCGCTCAGCCTTACCATCGTCCTCGTCCAAGATCGTTCTTGCCGTCCTCGTCTCAGCGCCTGGCCACCTGGCCCCCAGCCAGTGTCAGAGGCTCCAGAGCTTGGTTCTTAATAAAGTCCCAGTTTCTACTTCGTGCATGCGACTGCGCGAGGTCACTCATCACTCTTCCTGCAGAAGCCTCTGCGTTTGGGGCTTGATGGGGTGGAAAACGTTGTATGTAAATATTCATTGGGTTTCATTTTTAGCATTTTAATTAGTAACTGGTTGTGTTTTCTTTTGGAGGGTGGGAGGGTTGGTTTGTAAAAACTCTACTCGTTTGGAATGTAATTTCTAAGTTTGTTTGTTTCTTTAAATGCCTTTCAGTCTTGGTAACATTCCCAAAGCAGAAAACTGCCTGACCCACAGTGGGGATTCCCTGGAGCATTGGGGTTCCAGGAAGGAACGCTGCCCTTCTTCCCTCTCTTCCCCTTCCTACTACCCCTCTGCCTTTTTGCTCCTGGCCCCTGCCTCTTTCTCCCCCTCCTCTCTTATTCTACTTCCCCCCTTCCCCCTATCTCTTCTGTCTTCAACCAAAGTCCCAAGGAACCCTGGGGTCCTAGTCCCCTACAGACTGCTAGGCTTGGGCCCATGGCGTTGGCACCAGTTGGTTAGAGGTGAAGAGTGGAAGACCGCTTGGCATGGTTGACCCTAAACTGGGCAACATCACGTTTCTTCTGTCAGATCTCTTTCAAAGCCAAATTAGACCCTCCTGGGGGCTGTGATGTCTGCATTTGAAATGGAAGTCCTACCACTTTGGTGCATCAGTGGGTTTAGACCCTGTATTCACAAGGCTTCAGAATCCAGTTCCGGTCTCCCAGCAGCCCCTGCCCCCAATTGTTTCCCCAACAAAGGCTGACCAATTTCAAAACACCTCCAAGAGGCCTTTCTTTCTCTGAGCTCAAAATGGGCCAACCCTACAGCCTCCCCAGAGACACCCCTCTAGTGGCTGCTCTCCCAGGTGATATAGTCGAAGGCCCCAAAACTGGACCCTCTTACACCTTGACCATGTGGCTCCATCATGCCTGCCCCCTGCAACTTCTATAGTTTCGTCACCCCGGCTGTTTTCCTCTTGCCCACTCAGCTTCCAGGCCCTTCTTCCCTCTCCCTTCCTGTCCAGAATGTCCCCCACCCCATCCATCCTCGCCAGCCCCTGACCGAGCTCCCATTGCCTCTCCATTAATAATAATGATCCCCTGCACGCTCCGCCTAGAGCATTTTACTGTTTAGAAATCACTCCCCCCATCCCATGGCTTTTCAAGCCTTTCAGGGACAACTCTGGGAGGCAGCTTTAGCAGGACAGGGTTTAGCGTTCCCACTTTGCAGATAAAGAAATGGAGATGCAGGTCTCATCCCGCGTCACCTGACTGGGAAATCGCTGACTCTAGACTAGCACCTGGATCCCCCAGCCCAAACTCTGTCCTGCTTGCTGTGTAGACCTGCTGCCCCACTGGGTGCTCTGTGAGGGTACAGGACGCCTAGAACCTGCCACTGCCCAACCCAGACATGAAAGCAGTCCACCCTGGATCAGTGGGCCCGTGTGTTCCCGAGGGTAGCCTGGGCCCCTTGCATCAGGAACCTGCCTGTTTAACAGACTCAGGGAGAGCCTGAGCAGCAGCGGCCCGCTGTTTGTGTCCGTAGCCCCGGCCAGCAGGCCACCTTTTAACCAATAACCACGATGCTGTGTCGTAAAAAGGGCGTTGTGCTGGTAGTTAGGGAACTAATTATCTCCAATCCAACTCTCATGTAGTCTAATTACCCTGAGAATTTCCAAAAACCATCAGAGGTATAATACAGCAGAAATAGAATCTTTTTAAATGTTAATTTAATAAGACAAACTGTCAAAAAGCAAGAAGAGTTATCATTCCTCAAATCTATCTGATGCCATTCCCATAATCATGCAGTTAAAATTTACTCTTGAGTTTCCTGGAATCCATGGTGAAAAGAGAAACACCTCAGGTTCTGTAACGTTCATCATCCAGTCATGGGAAGCAAGCATTGCTCCAAGACACAACTCTCATGCTACTAATTTATAGCCTGTGTCCTTTCTTCAAAGACCACTAAGCCAACTGCCATTTCAACAGGTGAACCTAAGGTGCAAGGATGTTTTCCAGCTGACTCTTTAAAAAAACAAACAAACTGCCACCAACTTGAACGACCTTGGCCTCAGATCATGTGGCTACTCTCTGCCTCAGTTTCCCCAGTTATAAAGTGGGGAGAATGTCCTTCTACCTCACATGTCTGTGGTGAGGACCAAATACAACACTGTGCCTGCGAGTCTGCTTGGAAAAACATCACGTTCTACTCAAATGGGAAGTGGTCTGATCACACTCATTGTCCCCAGGCCAGCCCCTCAGTGACCTGACCCTGAGGGTGACATCCCCTTCACCCCCTCACTAGTCTCAGTGAATAGAAAGTGGGTTGAAAGACCAACTCCCTCCCTCTTCAGAAAAAATTGTTGCAAAATACACGTAACATAAAACTTGGTCGCCATTTTAAGTACACTCACAGCGTTGTGAAACCATGGCTGACGTCCATCTCCAGAACTTTTTCATCATCCCAAGCTGAAACCGTCCACTAAACATTCTCCATTTCCCCTGTCCCCAGCCCCTGGTGACCTCTATTCTACTTTCTGTCTATGAATTTGCCTATTCTGGGTGCCTCTTATACGTGGAATCGTACACCCTTTCTCATTGTGTGTGAAACCTCCTCATTTTTTTGGATGAGGAATCAGGCCCAGAGAAGAGAATGGCTCTCCCAAGGTCGCACAGCAAACCAGAGGCAGAGCCAGGACCAGAACCCGGGTTTCTGCACCCCTCGCCACTCAGTGATCCTGGTTGCGCCTCTCCGTCTCTCTGGGCCATCTGCTCGCTCCTCACCTCCCATCCGCCCTTGCTTTTACCATCTTCCCCTAAACCTCCTTTCCTCCTGCCTCTGTTGGTTCCGCCAGCAGGCCTGGCGGCCCTGACCAATGGCCGGGTTTCCCTCTTCTGGACCCTCAGCCCTCCCAGAATGGCCTCCTCAGCACTGCTCCTCCCCGCCCCATGGCCTTCCCTGTACCCGCAGCAGCCCCCTCGCTGTCCCCAGGCTCACATTCCTGTGTTACCAGGGAAGCGCCCTTAGCTGTGGTCTCCCAACTCTGATGTTTGCTTTTCAGATCTGGGTTTTTTTCCCCCTGGGTTCTGTTTTATTTCGTGTCTTCTCACACTAAAGGGAGCACCTTCCCCCAGTGCCTCAGGTGGTATTAGTGCTGCCAGCCCTTCTCATTGGGCCCAGCCCCAGTCCCCCCCCCCGCCCCAGCCCAGAAACATCCCCTAGTCACGTCCTTGAGTCATGTCTTCTCTGTTCATGGCCTCCTGGAACAACCCAGCACTTTCCACAGGGAGTGTGTGTGTAGGGGAGCTTAGAACCCCACCTCTGGCCTCCTCTACCCTTCCCAGTCCTGCATGGCTCTGGTTGAGGAGATGCAGCCTGGCTTGGGTTCTCTGTCTGGTCATCTGTCCATCTGTCTGTCTATTTGATATCCCTCCATTCTCTCTGCCCTCCCTTGGGCCTCACCAGCTCCAGAACAGGCCTTCCTGTAAGAACCTGTAGCTGACCCTGACTCTGCCCCTCACCCCTCCCAACAGCATTTGCAGTTTGCAAAGTCCACAGATCAAAAACAAAAGCAGACATGATGCTGCCCCTGAGTCCCCTGCACAGGGCTCCTCCCTCATATTCATTGGACAGCCCCTTGTCTCTCCCATCAGCCTGCTCCTGTCCCTTCCTGCCCTTCACCAGCCCTCTGGACCCCAAGCCCCAAGTAAAGGAGCTGTGGTTTCCTCTAAGCATCCTTCAAGGGACAAGGGACAAGGACCTGGCTGCCCTGTCACACTGCATTATTCTGACACTACTCAAACTGCTTCCTTGAAGAGAAACCTCCACCAGGAGTCTGGAGACCTGGCCCAGGTCTGGGCAGACTTTCTAACTTCTCTGAGTCCAGCTGGTTGTATAACTTTATGATGAGCGCCAGGATGATCCTAGGACCCCAGAGCATCCCTCGTTTTGGGGCCTGCATCACTATCCTCTCTCCACTGCACCCTGGTCTCAGCTCTGCCCCTGATCTCTGTGCCTTTGTTTACTTCTCTGCACAGGGGGCTTACCACAAGACCATTCCTAGCAGCTTCCCAGGTATTTGGTGCCTCTAAGGCTGGGCCTCGCCGGCTGTGGCCCAGCTCCCTGATACTACTGCCTTGGGTTGGGGCACCAGGTTGCTGAGGATGAGGTACCTGGAGGGCCTCAAAGCTGCTGGAGCATCACCTGGTAACTTGATAGAAATGCAAAGTATTGGCATCACCCGAGGCCTGCAGAATTTGAACTGGAGTAGGGTGCAGCAAACGGGGGTTTAACAAGCCCTCTGGATCATTCTGATTAAATGATAGTTTGTCAACTGCTCACCTATACTACAAATAGTGCAGCCTAGTGAGGGACTAAGACTGGCACAGACCAGGAACAGGTAGGAAGCACCAACCTCCTGACTCCTGAGAGACTGGTAACTCTCCCCCGCTGCCCTTCCCCCACCCCAAACACGTTCTCTTCCTGGAAGCTGGAGGACAGGGAGATGGTGTACATTTTGATTCTAGCTCTGCTCACCTCTTCCCACTTGCCTGAGTTTCACAAAAGGTTATGTAGGGTTTGCCAGCCAGGCAGGGGGTGGCACTCCTGGGGGGCAGGAGAAAAAACCCTGATCATTTATCCCTTGGGAACCTCACCATAGGCTCATGGACTCTCTTCAAATGGAAAGAAACCTAATTCAAGAAAAGAATCCTAAATCCCCAGCTCCTCCTCCTCCCACCTCCGTGGAGACCTTGTAGATGTGCCAAAAACACAGCTCTGGCCCCCAGCAACTGGGGGGGAGGGCCAGAAGCTGTCCTTCCTTTTCATCCCTCCCCTTCCAACCCTTGCCAATACTGTGAAGCCCCCTTCCTGCCCAGCCTGGTTTCCTGGTGAGGGTCCTGCAGCCGTGGGCCCAGGGAAAGGTCTTTAGGAGGGAAGGGACCAAGGGTGTCCTTGGGCCAAACTGTCTGCCTCTCCTGTCCATTGTTCTCCCCTCCTCCCTCCTTTCTTCAAAAGGCTCATTCCCAGGATGGATTGGGTGCTAGGACGACTGTAGTCCAATCCACTAGCTCTCCCTGTCCCTGTGTCTTATTTCAGACATGAGAATAACTGTACAGTGTAAACTTGCAAAAGGGTTTTTAATGGTTGTAGATTGGAAATAAAGTATGTCATATGAACAGTTCTCATGCCTCCTCTGATTTCTCTTATGGGGTGAGTGGAGCCCCTGGCAGATTTGAAACCTGACTCTAGCCCACCCCTAGTTGCCTGGAAAGGAGGGAGCCCTGGGAACGCCAGAGCCAGCTGGCTGGTTTGGGGGCCACTTGGGAGGGGCCACAGGAATTCTCCACTGCTGACTACTGACACCTCAGAGTCTCCCACTAAATGTGATATGACCACTGAGAAACAAGCACAAAGTGCTCAGAAAATGGAATTGAACTTTTCTACAAAAAAACTTTTAAAATGCCATCGTGGGGTGGAGAAGACACTTTAGACATGAGTTAATTATCTATTACAGTATAATTATTCTAAAACATGTATTATATCACAGATGCTGTGGGTTAAGAATTCAGGAGCTGGGTACTTGTGAGGTTGCAGTAAGGTGACTACCACAGGCCAGTCACATGAAGGCTTGACTGAGACTGGATGATCCATTTGTAAGGTGGCTCATATGCCTGGCAAGTCAGTATTGGCTGTTGGCCTGAGGTCTCAATTCCTTCCCACGTGGATCTCTCCATGAGGCTGCTTGAGTATCACAACACTGTGGCTAGCTTCCCCCAGAGTAGGTGAACTATAAGAGAGCAGGGTAGCAGTCAGGGTCTTTTATGATTAAACCTTGAAAGTCACGTTATCACTTCTGCAATGTCTTACTGGTTATACATATTAGCCCCATGAACTATGGGAGAGGTCTACAACTGGGCATGAACACCAGGAAGTTGGGATCATCAAGGGCCATCTTGGAAGCTACCACATAAAAATTATAGAGCTCTCTTTTTCTGAGAACAACAGTCTGTGCTAGGCACTGAGGAGATAACAGATGAGCCTGGAAGGCAGGAAAACAGATGCCAATGGCAGGGGGAGGCCAGGGAGCCAAGAGGAATCTCAGGAAAGGCTTCACAGAAGAAGAAATATCTAAACTGGCACCTGAAGTTAAGATGTTGACCAGATGAAGGGAATGGAGGTGTGTTATAGGTAAGAAACTGAGAGGAGATGTTCCCAGGGACAGCATGTTTGAAAGCCTAGTAGAGAGCAGAGAAGAACTGGGAAGTGTAATAAGTTTGATGTCATTGGAATGGGTAATGATGAAAGAAAGCTGGGTCAGATCACACAGTGCCTTATGAGGGGACAAATCCCATTCTGTGGGCAATAGGGAGCTGAGAAAGAAAAAGCAGGGAAAGGTGATAGAGAAAGCATTAGGTCTGGATTCCATTAAACTTATACTCTCAGCTGTGCTCTAGGATGGCCAGCCCTGGATGAGACCACTTCATTCTGTTCTCAGGGCATAGAAGGAACTGGGTACCACTGACCCCCCAGAAACTCATATTTGGGGAACCAAGAGCAAATCTCTGCTTTCAGATGGCTGTTGGAGCCAGCAGGCTGGAACTACATGGTAGAAATTTAACAAGAAAGAATTCTGCGTCCCATCAGAAAAATTTTCAAGGGAACACAGCTGCTATGGAAGGATGACCAGTCATGCTCCAGCTGCTGTGCCCTAACTTCTTCAGACTTCATAGGACTGCTCATAATTCAACATTTGGAGGTTTCAGATTTGAAATAACTACACATGCAAGGGGACAGACATTTTTCATGGCATCCTATTGGGTCCTGAGGAAGCAGCCTGCTCTCTCTGGCCAGCAAGGGATAGTGGAAACGGCATAGTTTGGACTCTGGCGGGTACAGAAGAGGCATCTGGTTTTCATCCTAGGGCCTTAGAGAAGGCTCTGAGAGATGAATCCTCACCTGAGGCTTAAAATTAAAGAATTTTGCCAGGAAAAAAAAAAAACAGGGAAGGGCTTCGTAAGCAGAGGGAATGGCGATCAAAGGAGCAGAGGTACGAAGCTATGGGGATGGGCGGTTTAGGGAGAGGGTTCCCCCAGAGGCTGTAAAACAGAGTTCTCGAACTTTATGTATTAAAAGGGCCACAGGAGAGAATAAATGCTAAATGCAGAAGTATAATACAATAAAGCCAATTGAGCACTTAGCTCCAGGCTGCCCGGGGAGAGACAGTCCACATTTTTGCCGTTAAGAAAATACAGAGAGGAGGAACCATAGCACAGCGACAGGGGCTGAGCTTAAGATGCTGACGCGCTGTATTCCCTTGGTACGCATCTCTCCGGGCCCCCGTTTCCCCATTTTGGATGGGATCTAGCCCCGTAGAGCGCAAGAAATCACGAATGTGTGGCAGATCCCAGGAGAGCCTCTCCTGGAGTGTAGTAGCTGGAAACGTGGCGGCTTAACGGCGGAAACGGACTTGGAGGCGTCGGCAAGACTCTCAACTGTTAACCACTAGTTTACGCATGCGCTTTGTGGGAAGCAGGAACTCTGCGTGCGCGTGCGCGCTCGATGCCCCGAGACTGCCGGCCGCGCTTGCGCTGATAGTTGGCGGGAGTTTCGGTAGCGGCGGCGGTTGCGCGGGGCGTGGTCCGCGGAAGGTGCACAGGATCATTACTGGAAACCAGAGGCGCGGGAGGTCGAAGGCTGACCGGTGGCTGCGGAGAGTGACCTACGGTGTTGCCTTTCAAGAACGGAGGCTTCGGACTGGACAAGTATCGCTCTGAGGTCAGAAAGTCGCATACCTTTCCCCGGACGCGGCCCCACTTACCCCTGTATCCGCCTCTTGGGCGTCGGACCTCGGCCCAGTCCAGGCCAATCTCCGCTCCCCGACAGCGGGCACTAGGGGTGCCCTAGGGCGCTGCGGCCTCCCCTGGCTGAAGGAAACCCGAGGACGGGTCTCGGCTCTCCCTGTGCCTATTTGCAGAGCCAGTGATCTAGACTCCTGAACCGTGGTTGAACGGTTCGGGTGGGTCGCACAATTCCACCTCGGCCCCAGACTGGGTGCTTAACAAGCTTTTGGCCCAGGCGTTTGCTTTCTGAACCTCAGTTCCTCTATCTGCAAGGAGAGATGAAAGGTAGTATTAA